CTAGTGATTTACAGAATCATGAATCGATGGAAATACAATAATTGACACTTGGCAGTTACGAACTGACATATCTCTAAGTGCTTCAAACTCATCTATTCCAAATTTGAATTCAAAAATTCTCAAATAAACTTACCATAACTGGAAGGTTCTTCAAATTCAATTTCAAATTTTTGATTATTGACACTAATTTGTTTTCTAAAAATTTCTTCCACAGTTCCCATATCAAACACTTCAAAGAAATCATCATTGGCGCATCTTCTACATAGATTTGATTTTCCTGCTCCTCCTTCTCCCATTACACACACTTTGAAACTATTAGATTCTTGAACTGAATGTTGAATGTTTCGAATAGCACCACAATCATTATTAAATTTCATTTCTACCATTTTATGTAATAGCAGATAACATCTTTTAGCTTTTGGTCTGATCTTTTCCTTTTTACTTTCAATAAATCCTGTTGGAAAGTAAAATTCTCTCTGGATTAAAATTATCCAAAATTCGTTTAATTCCCTTCCAATCGGAATGTCATCATTTTGAAAGAATGAACAAATAGATTGCAAATTTAAAACCATTCGTTTCATATTTTCAAGTATCATTGAAATCGGATGATGGAAAAGTGTTTCGTCTGCAACTTTCCAATATTCTGATGTATTCGGATAGTTCAGAAAGGAGAGAATGACTCTAAGAATTTCTGTAGGTAATTTCAACAGAGAAGAATCACTTTCTGTCCGTTTACGCATTTTTTATAATATTTTTATGAAATTTAACCAATTTTTAGATAGAACTAGCAGCCAAAACATTTTACAATAAACTAAAAGAGAAGTTTGGTTAATGTAATTCGATTCTATTAAAAGAAAAGAAAGTGTATGAAATTGTAAAAACCTTAGTTATTATTCCGAGTCGAGATTGTGTTAGTTATCATGAGATGCCAAGTTTGTTTTCAGCATGAAGAAAAAAAACTTGGAAAACCTTCCAAGTTTAGTAAGTCTAATGTCTTGAATATACTTCAGTGAATTAGGATATGTCTTGTGTGATATGTTAGACTTCAGTCAAATGAAGAAGGAAAATGACAAGTAACAAGTTTATTGTGATGTTTCGCAAACTGAAATTTAGTGAAACCACATGAAGATAACAAATATAGTAAGTACATGAAAACATACTCAAAACAACTTTCGAATAAATTTCCCACTCATTCTCCTTTCACAATAACAACAATACTCAAAAAAAACAATTCAAAATGGCTTCATACGAAATGCAAGGAGCTACCTCCACCTCTCCTTCCTCGCAAAAGACCCCTCTCAATATCCACCAACTCAACCAAGAACGTCATGTCAAGAATAGAATCTTTGGTTGCAGAGAACACAACCCATGTGAAGCAATAATGTTCTTCTTGTTCAAGGTAATCACATTGGGACTTTCAGAACTCTTATTCGTCAATCAAATTACTCGTTACGAAGTTAGAAAGATGAGAATTGGTAATCGTCGTTTGAATTATGATACTTCTCATGGTTTTGGCATTATTTTTAGATGTTTCTGGAATAACATGTTGAATTATTTGACGCTCGGCATTTGGTACATTAGTGGACAAATGACAGTTCATTATTATTCTCATTTGGATGAGAGAATTCATTGGGCAGAGGAGGTAAAGCCAAGAAAACCAACTCAAGATGAAAAGATGGAAGCAAGTGGAAGTTTTCCAAATTTGGATGAGTTTGTGGTTTGGCAACCTGAAAATGATTGTCGTGGAGTGATTCGTTATTATGGTGTTCATCTTGGATGGCA